TAGGTAGCAGAAACAAGAATAAAAATCTTCAATAATAAAGCATCAAAATTTAATTATTATAAAACACATAACAAAAAATATAAAATAAAGACCATTACACTTTGTTCACGTGGAATAAAATCAAAACAATAAAATATACACATTAAAAACAATATAATATCATGTGTGTTCTTAGCCCAAACTAATAAATACTGTATTTTCTTTTAAATATTTATTTGTTGTTTTTATGCACGAATTATGAATTTATTATAATATACAGTATTATTGTAAAAGTAATAATTTATTGTATTAAACATAATAATATTTACGAATTGCAATAAAAAAATCATATAATATTTATGTCTAGTGACTAACTTTATATAATATCATAATAATTAAGCATAATAATTAATGTATTGTTCAATAATATATATATATATAGAGTGTGAAACGCCGTGAATTCTCGTCGCGTTGGTCGAAAGATTCGATCGCACCTAAATCGATCTACCAAACTCGAAGTATAAATCATAACGAGGATGGATCTCWGTACTCTGACTTAAGCAAGAATCACTACATTTCCAGCTAACCTGCAGTATGGTATCTATACGTCCTAATTCTACAGCTATATTATTACCCATACTGTATAATAAAGTCATGCTAAATAAAACTATTACGGAAACAAAGTTACGCGATCGTTGACCCAAACGCGTTTACCAAGCTATACCCGAAGGGATCGGAAAATCTCCGGCGCTTAAAGGAGATCATTAATGATTTTATTATTATTTTTTTTTTTTTAAATACATTTTCTATAATTTATCATTGTGTGTATAATAATATGGATAATGATTGACTAATGATACATAATATTGTGGCGTGAGATTATATTAACTGAGGTATATTACACGCAAATGTAAATTATTATATTGCAATCATATTAATATGATACCCTTCTATCTTTTTAAAATACCTATATATAAAACAAAACGAAAATAATAAGATAAACATTTCAGATATATAATATATACAATGACGTATGTGTATATTATACGCGGGCAGCATTATTTTACATAAGACACGATGCAGGTAAAATTTGTTAAAAAAAAAAAATAAAAACACAGGAAAAATCGGACGATTTCACGCGGCCGACGATAAGAGCGCGGCCGGTTCGGTTTTATTGTTGCCGGCCGAGTCGTTGTGGGCTACTTTGGCGTCGGACGGCGGCGGCGATTGGGCGCTCTGCACTTTGTTGGCGTTGCCGCGGCGGCCTCTTCTCCGGCGGCGGCGCATGCACACGCAAAGCGCCAACAGCACGGCCACGGCGATAACGACACCAGAGGCGATGGCCCAGTAGGGCGTGTTGCGGTGTTCCCACTCGGCCATGCACTCCTTGAACGCGGCCAGGGCCTGTTCCGGGATTCTGGCGCAGGCCTCGCTGTTCGGGTCGTCGTGGATGTCGAGCTCGCCGTCTCCGGCCAGCGGGTCCGGGCAATGGCCCAAACCGAACACGGTTATCTTGTACGTGTTGGCCCACTGGACGACGCGCCGGCACCTGCAGTGAGCGCCCGGCGTGCCGGGTCGGAACAAATTGGTAGCGCCCGTCACGTTGAGCCGGGCCAAGCGGCACGTGATGGCCAACTGGGCGGGGTCTAGATCCACGATATCTCCGTTTTCAGACACGTCCAGGCTGACCAGGTTGGGCATGATGCCTAGTTCCGGGTAAGTTCTCAGGTCGCAGCCCCTGAGCTGCAACACCCGCAGTCCGACGGCGGTCTCCAACTGGCGCATATCCGACACCGGATTTCCGTTTAGCCTTAGCTGAGTCAGCGATTTGGGTAGTCCGGCTGGCACCTCCTTGATGGCGTTTTGTGACAGGTCTAGCATCTCCAGCTCGCCAAGCGACCCTAGCGCCCCGGGCTCAATGGTGTGCACCTTGTTGAACGATAGCATCAGATTCTTGATGTTAGGATACTCGGTGAAACTGTTGTTGAATAGCTTGCCGATGTAGTTGTGCTCTAGGTTTAACGTCTGTAACATACATATCACAATACCAAACATAAAAATTTACTTAAATTATRTAAAAAAATTACTTAGGTATTTTGAATACGTTCAAATTCCAAGGGCTAGATATTATTATAATATTTATATTATAAGTAAATTTCGTGAATTTCTAAGCATATAGTATATTATAGTGCGCTGAGCGTTCAGAGTGTATAAGAGTATTGTACGCGAGTAAAATGTTMTATTATTTTTTTTTTCAAAATATTTCATCAAATATCACACATAAGGTGCAAGTCTACGGACATTGACATTTTATACTCTATGAATCATCAGTGATTTCCTGCTGGACACTCCCAAGAAAAAAAAACAAATATAGATTTATGAATACCGACTAATTTTACGAATGCGTCTAATTATCTTCCTATTGTTTTGTAGGTCACGAGAAAAGTTTAGTATGATATATTTTATATTTTAAATCTTTTTAGCATCTGATTTTTTGTTTACTTCATCATGGCAGGGCTAAAAAAGCGCATGCGAGTATATTTTCGTGTTCCGAAATCGATGAATATACGCATTAACGAAATGTACAATATGTATAATGGACAAAATGGCGYGTCTGATGTTTTACACACACTTAAACACACAGACCATAAACGCGTATGCGRAACAAACTTTAAGTAATCAGTTTWTCGTGAGAAAAAAATAGCCAACTATTATTAATATTTATTACGACATCGACAACGAAACGCACTTCGGGTGATCTATTTACAAGATTACTTACAAGACCGCTATATATTTTTTCTTATTTTAGAAGTTGGCTCGATTTTCGCGACAATTAAAGCATACGCCATACGGAAATATCATAATAAATAAATGCAATATAACAGACCGTCATGTTTTACCAAACGTCAATAACAACAATAACGAATATAATTCAATTTTACAAACTATGATCTTTACATAAAATCGACACAAAATCCGTTATTTATGTATTATTAGTTATTAGTTATTACTTTATCAATCGTAGTTGAATAAATTGATTAATTACTATTTACTACGTTCTACTATGTACGAGACACATTCATCAATTCTTTGTACTCTTGTCAAATGTCAATCATTTAATTTATTTATTTTTGTCTTGTATTAACAAACCTCGACATCCTTTAAAACGTCAGTAGTTGGTACAAATAGAAATTCTTGATAGGCACAGTTGACCACCACGTACCTTTCCGAATCTTTTGAGTTAAGACATTTTGCCCCATCCACGACAATGGCAGACATGCCAAAAACAAGGATCGCTAAAACATATTTAAAATAGTTATTAATTTTAATATTCTGTACGTTAACTARAAAACAAACAAACAAAAATACAAAATGAATATTATGTTTATCGATAACGTTATTACAACACGTACAAGAAATTATTAYTTCAAGATATCGTTGTTRCCATTCAACGCAAATCTCAATAATTGCTGTAAATTGCTCAGTGTTGGAACCAAATCGACAAATGATCACGTTTTATTCTCATATTATGGTGAATAGGTATTATTAATTTAAATATTATGTATATTGAGTATGTCTATTTAACASAAAATATAACAATACATTATTTAAAATTGGTAACACTGTCTATTTCGGACGTTGATTTATTCATCAAAATGCGTATAATATGTACATAAATACATAATTAATGATCAATGGTTATTGGTTTCATTAGTATAACATAATTAGTAGTAAACATACCTATTATTAAGGTTCGATCATGTAGTTTTACATGCTTTTCTTGAAATTAAAATTGAAATTGTATTTACGAGTATTYGTAAATTCACATAAGTATAATCATTTGTAGACCATACATAAATTAATATTTAGTCATTTATTTTTATTAACTGTGATAAACTCGAATACTCATCTATAGTTACTACTAAAAATCGAAAATTTAAAAGAAAATAATGAAGTCCAAATAGCGATTGTATATTAATTATGAATGGTTAGATTAAATATTTAAATGATAGCTACCGGATTAATGTATTTAGTATTATTTTATTTATATTACGTATAATAACCTAGATGAGGGATATTCAATAATTATTATAATACAATTATTCATAGTTTAATGTCTATTAATATCAATATCCATTGTCTATCAGTTTTTACAGGCCATGAAATTTAAAAATAATTGTTTTAACTTCGTGGGATAAACTCAAAGTACTATACTCGATCAATCTGAAAATTTTATCGACTATATTTTAAGTAGACAATATTTAGTAATTAACAACTTAGTATATTGTATTTCATTTAATTTTAAATTTGCATAATGTATATAAAACATAGGTACACCCGTACACCACAATCAAAACCATTACGATTGTTATTTATAATACTCATAAGTTTTAGAATATGACTTAATTTATTATATTTAATTTTTTCATCGGTTTAGGTGACTAACTAATGTCACTATGGTTACCAGCACGAAACCATAGCAAACATTGCTGGGCATCATGTTATTATGATGTCATCATAGGCTTATTTCCAAGAGTTTACGTAACCACTAACCATAAGTGGTATAGTAGGATTGTGTTATTAGGTAAGATAATGACGACTTTGGTAAAATAAATGACTATTTAATATTTACTAAGTAACCATAAAAAKTTTAGTTAATAAGTAATATTATAATTAACATTAAATATATAGACAAATTTAAATACAAATTGGATTAATATATTAAATATCAACAATTGCGGAAATATGGTACATATATATATATATATGATAATAAATAATAATAATTCATTATTACTGCTATTGCTACGAAGTACGAGGAGAAACATTTTGAACGACCCTGAGTGCATATTAATACGTATTTTATTAACCACGTGTGCTTACAATTTACAACCTGTAATTTTATTTTTATTTTAATGTATATTGTCCAAAGGTATTAGATCCCCAAAACCAAAGCTATTCATTTTCCCATCGTTATCCTTTAACAACATTCGATTTTCTATTCGAATTTATTTTAG